ATTCCACTAATTACTTATTTTGAGTGCACTTGGCCTCGTGAACTAATAATTATACGTTTGATCGTAAAATGCATCTTTTAATCTTATGTTAGAGTTCAATCTTCTCTCCCGAAAATTGTAACCTGTTAAAAAAAATTACTTATTTTGAGTACTCTTGATGGAGGAATTAATTAAGTACTCCTTACGAATATGATCATATAAGAGTAAAGACAACAATGCAAATCCACCTGGCCGCAGATTCCCATCATTATAAATAAAATAGACAAAAAAACAAAATTAAATCAATAATATGCCAAGGGTTTTTACACTGTGTCCTAAAAGTTACAAACAATATAATAAATACATAATTTAACATTAATTTGCATATAAAGTTAAGTATTTATCTTAACTTTTTTACATAATCAATATATATCTTACAAAAAAGTTCTTATAACTATCAATAAAGATTAAAGCGGATCTCCCCTCCATCAATTGTTATTGTTTTTTAAAAACTGTAAAATCCCTTTCTTGATATCATGAGATTCATAACATTTTTCTTTTCATTCTCAAATTAATGGTAGGCTGAATGTCAATTTTGATCCTTCAACTTTAAAATTTTACACAATTTTCATTACTCAACTTTTTTGTACACTTTTTTGGTCCATTGACCATAAAAAGTGTTCTTTTTTAATCTTTCTGTCAGTTAATTTGTTAAATGCACCTATATTAGAAGTTAAGGGACTAAAAGTATGAAGATTCAAATAGATTTAATGGACTAACTAACGGAAGAACTAAAAAAGTATAGAAAAAAGTTGAGAGATGAAAATTATGTAAAACTTTAAAGTTAAGGGACCAAAATTGACATTTAACTTAATGGTATTGTTTGGTTTCATTGTTAGGAAATAACTAATAGTTAAAATATATAACTGTTAGCTATTTCCTTACCAAATCAAATAGGGCCATTAATAAAATGTGTAATTATTTAACATAAGAAAACCCTTGTTTTAAATCTTGTCACTCTCATAAAATGATAACATGTCTCAACTAATAATTTAGAATGTAAAAAATTATTCCCTTTGTTTCATTTTAATTGTCATGCTTTTGATTGTTATGATTATAGAGGAAGATACAAAAATTCATGACCGACACAATTAATAGTAGTAATTTTATATTTATCTTTAATTTAAATTTAAAATAATGTTGAATTAAATATGTGATTTCATTTATTCAAAAAGGGTAAAGTTGGAATGAGAATTTTTAATATTTTTATTTAAAATCAAACGGAAAGAATATTAAATTTTATCCTAATTATAGTATGTGAATGGATTATTTAAATCTAGCATGTCCCCGACAACCCGAAGTGATGGAAATTAAATTATCATAACAAAGACAAAGAGGGTTTTAGGTACATGTAGAACTTAAAATAGTGAATGCAAAAGGATGAACAGTTATGTTCATTGGTTTTTGGGGAACCTTTTGTTTGTTTCTCAGGATTCTTGAGCTTGGTAAAATTTATTCTCAACATGCAAAATAATGCTCCTAATTTGTTTAATTAATTCGTCCCCATTTATTTTTTTCCCTATTTTGTCCATGTTAGTACTATTAAACCAATCTCTCTTAGCCAAATGGAGAAATCATAATCAAACATATACGTTTACCCAGAAGTTTATGGCTTGTTTGGATGCAAAAATACTTACATTTGCAGTGATTCTTAATTTGTTCTGCAAGGTGAAAGTGGAAAATACTTAAATTTTGTTCCTCAAATTCTGTGATGGATTTTGCACGTTCTTTGCTAAAATCGAAGCCAATGAATTAATTCTACTTATTGGCACGTCTGGTTTTGTTCGCTTATGTTTAACTGTGTTTCATGTGTCCCAATCTAATTAGGTTATAGAAGTTGGTTGAGATGGGAATGCAAGATTTCTACCTTCTACCCTGGGCGTATTTGGTTTTCTTTTCAGGCCGGAATTTTTTTTCCTCCGGCCAAAATTGTTGTTGGTTGGAGAGTCGAGTTACTTTCTCATTGGTTTAGGACATTCAAAGAATCAAGTTATCAGATATCTGATTGGACTTGACACACGGGTGTAGGTCTATTAAGTACTAAATATTAATCTTAAAAAGTATGAGATGGATGTTTAAACCGACAAATTAAGAATCGAGATATATAAGTTGCAAGTGTGATTCTAACCGACAATTGTATCGCATTCCCATACAAAGCTAAAGATTTTATATTTCCACTACTCACTAGCGTCCGTTCATCACATTGACTCATTAATAAGTATTGCTTTTATGGTAAGAATTTTCAAATTTCTTATCTACAAAAGCTAGCTCCCATTGCCTTAAATTGTTTGTTAAAAATTGTTTGAATCATATTTGATATATTTCCATAACTAAATAAAAAAATTTTAAATTATTGTCTAAATAAACTTTCAATCTATCTAATTTTACCGCATAAACTAATCACTCATTAGGTTAAAAAGTTTATTAATAGATGTTTGGTAATTAAAATTTTAAATTTTTATATTAAAATTTAAATTTAAATCTTACAATAAGTAAACAAAATAAAAATGACAAAATAAATTAAATAAATAAAATTATCGATAAGTTTGCCCTCATCTAACGATTTTGAACTAATAATGATAGTATGGTACTCGTTGACAGAAACTGCAAAATCAAGTGGACGTGTTAAAAACGAAAAGGTGAGACAATGCAGGCGTCACGCTTACCCAAACAACCTGTTTTTAACAGTACATATAAAAAACCAAAAAGAGGAGAGAAAGAAAAAAAAAAAAATTAAAGTCGATAAAGGAAATGGGCCGGGATTGTCACTTAAGACCCGAAGGACGTCGTCTACGTTGTTGCACCAATGGGAATACCTGACGGTTAACAGCTGGACTGCGAAAAAAGGGAAAAGACA